TTTGGCAGCTGTATTGTAGCTCTTGTTTCCAAAGCAGAAAAATATCTAGTCTACAAGTAATGAAACAGAGATGTAAATAAGCAATTTATTATATAGTAAGTTTCATTTCAAAATAGCTTTACACAGAATCCACATGACTGTTGAATATGCTTCCTTGATGTCAACGAGGCTCAATATTGCTAATAATATAGATAATTTGGGAAACAATAGCAGATGGGGACAGGAATATATGAACATTTCCATCTGTTGCTTTCTTTTTTTTTTCCAGGACTGATGCAACTCTTAAGATTTCAGGGGCAGATTTGGAATTTTACTAGACATGGAAAATAGGAATCTGATGTATTCATTGTAACTACCCCTAAAATGAGATCAAGCATCTCAGGAAAGATTGTTGCAACACAGTTGGGAGGACTGTACAATAGCAGCATCCCCAAAGCTTGTCTCTTTAACCCTTCTTCACAAATATGGCTTAACAACTTTGCACTTGAAGAAGAGTGATCCTTGCAATAGTACACAAAATTGCCATTCTGCCTCTTCCGTCCCAAAATTAGGACTGATGCAAGACATAAAACCTGATTGGACAGGTCTCACCGAGTAAGACTTTCCTTTCTTTTCAAGTCAGGTCTCAGTGACACACCTCAGGTCTGCCCTCTTGTCCTTGAGTAAATCATGAAGTTTTATTACAGCCAGATCTGGCATTCAAAAGCATCAACCTTTGCCCAGTTGTTCAGCTGCCTGGATCTTGAGGTGAGACTGGAGAGCCAGCAACAGGCTGGCAGTGAATTTGTAGTCTCTCTTCCTCTGGCATTTCTCATTGTATTTTTCCCTGTTCATCACTAGCGTTACCCTTCCTTCCATCTTTCCTTCCCCTTAACTCAGACATGTCAAACACAAGGCCCGGGGGCCGGATGCGGCCCGCAAAGTGGTTTCATGTGGCCCGGGAAGCTATCCTGGAAACAGTGAGGGAACGGCCCCCTCTGCCTTGGCCCTGGTCCAGGCTGGCCAGGAGTCAATGTACAATTTTGTGGTGGCCATCTATGCTGAAACGCATTCAGTCTTAGCTCCATAAGCCCCCCCCCCCCGCATGGCCTGAGAGAAACAGTGAGGCTCCTCCAGTGGACCATGCCTTGGCACTTGCCCTGGTCCCACCCTCTTCTGTCAGAGACCCTCAGATCTATCCCACTCCTGCCCAGGCCCCCATGGGCACCCTTGACACGAACGATGTAGAGCTGGCCATGCCCACCCAGTAGGCCACACCCACTCCATCCACGCCCACCCAGTAGGCTGCACCCACCCTGGCCACAGCCACCTGGCCCCCTGAGAGCAACCACAATGCTGATGTGGCCCTCAATGAAATTGAGTTTGACACCCCTGCCTTAACTAATGACCTTTCACTTCCCTTGGCGTTCTTTCATCAGTACTATTTTTTTCACCATCCAGAATCAAGAAAGCTGAAATGGGGAAGAGATTTTAACTCCACTTCCTGACCGACCATGTTCCAGTAATCATTATTTACTGTTGGTCCTCTCCTTTTACAGCCCCCTACTTAAGAACAGATTACATTCTGAGAGGCTGTTGGATTTGTTCACAAATTCAACAAGCTTAAAAATATGCACAGTGCAGTTCTTGCCTTGCATGGGTGGTGGTCTAGGGGGCCTTAGGTATGTGGCGTGCTAGAAACTGGCCATTTCCTACTTTCTCCCAAATTCCTATCTTCTCTCACTGCTGCCAAGGGTTTGCTGGGCCTGGTATGTGGTGGCTTGTGTGGGGTGATAACTTCGCGGTGTGCAGCTCCAACCTAAAGGCTCATAGGGTCGGGAAAGATCAGGAAGAGGTTATTTCTGGTGTGCTGCATATATATGGAATGCACGCAAAGCTGATTCCCCCCCCCTTTTCTCTGACTTTCTGGGTGTGAACAGTTTTGTTTGTTTCAGTAAAAATTTGCAACTCAAAAGCTCCTAGTAGAGCAGGGGTGTCCAAACTTTTTTCAAAGAGGGCCAGATTGGATGAAGTGAACGTGCTGGAGGGCCGAACATTTTTCCGAACATTCTTTGAACCATTACAATTAAATGCAAATGAATTATTTTATGCCTCTTTCCTCTCCCTCTCTTTCCTCTTTCTCTCTCTCTCTTTCCTTTCCCTTTCCTCTCCCCTCTCTCTCTTTCT